ACGAATTGAACGGGTTAAATGGATTTGAGCTCAAATTACCACCCCTACCTCTCAATTTAGTTTCGCTCGACACGACCAAAGTAAAATATCAACAACTTGACCGTACCCTTTTGGCTCTGGATTATGTTCTACTCGTGATCTTTCATTAGTTGGTTGATTTTATTCTTTTCTATTTTATTTAATTATTATATCATTATTAATTATAACATAATTATATTTAATTAATTATATGGCTATTTTGGTAATTCAACTTTTTAATTAAGAGTTTCCCACTTTTATAATAGTACTAGTATCTATAAACGTGCGTTGCACGTTAATAATGGCAGATGATGGTTTAAATATTTATTTATATGAATGAACAATAAAAACTAATTAATGAGAGAAACTTTATATATATAATACTACAACAATCATCTAAATGGAGAAAAATATTACTATTACATTAGCATAATACGTGAATTCAAAATAAAAGTACATCAACAGAACTTACACAAATGATCAATTTTAGTCATGTTAAGTAGATAATTATGTATTGTAGTTTAAAGGTATCTAATGTAATAGTATCTTACCGAACACTTCTTTATAGACGGTGTTTTTTGTATCAGAACCAAATCATCCTTATTGGATGCTCTTCTTCGTTTCCGACACGAAGCAAGAAGTCACTGAATGTTGGATCTGTTCTTACTTTTATATTTCTTGTCATTTGAATATTTTTCATTTGATGTAACAAGTATAATTTTGGCAAGCTAGCTTTTACAGTTTTTGCTTTGGTCAATTTTGGAACTACTGATCGTACTTGACAGAAACCACCTCCCAAACTATTACTTTTCCACCAAACGGGCCATCGATATCCAATATATCTCTAAAACTCTGGGCGATTGTTTCGATTGTTTGACGCTTAGCCAAAAGCGCTTCATCCCATATTATGGCTTTTGGTTTCCTTATAAATTTAGCACTATTGTTCTGCTTTGATATATCTGTGTGGTTATTTTAATTATTTAAAGAGGTGTATCAAATCTAAAGTGAGTTGTACGACCTTAAAATAAAATCATTACTCGTACACCACTTGTTCTTATTGCTAACAATATCATGTTTCTGGATCTGACATTTGCAAGTAATGCATGACATATGAATATTATTTTGATTCTGCCGAAGGTATTTACAAAGGATAATACCGCTGTACCAGCGTCAATTTTTTATAATATAGTATTGAAAGCTTATTCTTGTCCAGGATTTAGCTTTGATTGTGCTTCTTCAAACACTTGTATGGCCTTCTTAATATTATACTAATTTTTTTAAACTTTGTGATCTATTTTTTTTTTAATCTCGAGCACTCTTTTTATGGAATAAATTTATGTAACATAAGATTTTTTTAACTTGAAAAATAATTTTGAATTTAAAAAATAATTTAATTAGATTCTCCTGCTAAATAACTAATTGAAAGATTTGATTATCTGATTTTAACACGAAATATAATTTATTTCTGTTGATTTAGATTCTTAATATTAGTTCATCTCATGTTTGAATATTTAACCGTAATCATAATTTTATCCACCAAAAATTTTATTTTCAAAGAGTAAATAGATCGATCTAACATTCCACTTTTAGATCTTTATGTTTGTAGAGTCATTAGTGGTATTGGCTTTTTATCAATTTTTCTTTCTTTTCTCACACATTTATGTTCTTAAATTTTTTTCATAGATTTCTTTAATAATTGAGTATATTTTTCTATATTACACGAAAAATTAATAATAAAAAGATATTATTTGAGTAGAAAAGCATTTTAAATATAATATAATTAATATATTATCATGGGGATTTTTTTCTCAATTTTAACGCATATGCAATCCGTTTAGCATTACTCTTTTTTGGTATTGAATATTATAAAGTGGTAAAGTATTACCAATATGGAGGATTCTTCTAAAATTGATTTTATTAGACTTTCCTGCATATTTTTATTAAGAATTCAATAGACAAGATTGTATTAATTTTAAAATCTTAAATATTAAAAAAATTAACATAGAAGTTATTGTTGTCCAAAATAATTAGTTATTACAGTTATGTCCTTTCCCTATGAGTTCTTCTATTTAATATTTTAGGGCTATTTTAGTCTATCAATATTATATTCGTGCTTTTATAATAAATAAGGCTCTCCACTTTCTAAATGGATTTGGACAGTATAATACGTTTTTTATATTAAATTAGTAATAGGAATTTTTTAAGAATTAGATCCTAAAAACTATAGGATTACATGGCTAAAAATATGCCCATATCCCGAAAGTAATTATACTAATAGAAAATCTAATATGTTCCTAAAGGTATTAGGTTTACATGCTAACATGTAGTATTATATATCTATATGCCCGAAAATAATTATACTAATAGGATTACTAAAGGTAATTAATCATGTAGGATTCCTAACGTGTAGTATTAATTATGTCCTAAAACTAATAGGATTACAAGGCTAATGTCTAGAATTCCGATTATGTCTTTTTATTGTGAGTTAGTATGCTTAATATTAAAAGGTTATTTTTTTAATCCAACATTTTATTCATGCTTTTATCCTATTCATGGCATTACAAACTAATGGTTGATGAAGTTACCTTGTTCTTTAGATTTTTTCTTTCGAAGTAGACTTTTTACATGCATCTCGATGTTTGTACACAGTGTCAAGGCTTAGATGATCCAGGATTGATTTTGTAATTGGTATGCTGATCACTACTCGGCAAATTATTTTCGCTAAAACGTATACCTGGCCTTTACTTCAGAAAAAGAAAGTAGCTTCAGGGTGTCGAGCTAATTAGGTAATGCTCCAATGGAAAAGTTTACATTGAACAACTCTCTTTGTAGCGCGAGAGGAAGGGAAAAGAGGAGAGATTTGCATTAGGTGTAAAGTCTAAAGAGAATGAGAACTTAAAATAAATCAGCTAAAGGTAATCTTGTAGGATTCCTAACGTTTAGTATTATGTCCTAAAATTAATAGGATTACAAGGCTAATGTTTAAAATTCCGATTATGTCCTTCTATTGTAATTCGATATCATGTGAATCTACGAAGATGAATGATCAAAGATTAAATTAGACCAATCTTCCTTGTGTTATATGCTTCTTTTATTTGTTGTTACTTTGTCATGGCCAGGACTTAGGGTTATCGACATTTATATTCCTCTTAAAAATAAAGTTTTGGATAAATAATTAACCATCAAAGAATAAAATATAAATTAATGTGAATATTTAATGTATATATATATCATTTATGGCGACTTCTTTGTCAAGGTCGAGAAATTAGATATTGAGGTCAAATAATAAAAATTATTACTCTATGTACTTTTGACCATTATCAATTTTATCTTAGTTGATATGTCTTATCTGTATACGACAAGAAAAAAATAGTACCAAACGATGAAAACATGTTAAATCTAATACAGAGAAATTAAACATGGCAAATTTATGACAAACACTTATATAAAATCAAGTATATCTATTAAAGTTATTTGTTATATAATAACACATTCCTTTCCCAAAAACTATTAAAAGCAGTTGCAGTATAAAATTTTCTCTATAAAGATGTAAGTAGTGAAACAAAACCAATAGACCATTTAGGCGAGGTCATTTATACCTAAAAAGTAAAATAAAATCACCTACCAAAACATATATATATATATATATATATATATATAGTGTGTGTGTGTGTTTATGTGCATGAAAATTTTCATGTATTTACATATATAACATTATTTGTCAATAAAATATTTGCATTTACTTTTATTTGAAGAATATATATTATCGGGAAAGGTATTGCGAAAGTTGCATGAAAAAGGTAAAAATGTATACTTTGAAGAAACGGGAATGAGGAAGTAAAAAGTAAAGTGGTTACTTAAGGCTTTATTAGAAGAGTACGGATGACCTGTAACATTTACGAAAACAACTTTACAAAACTCGCAATGGATGGCGTCCGATTTAGTTGACACATTTGCTCATCGTATTAACCTCAATGGATGAAGTCTAATTTAGTTGCAACTTTTGTTCATCGTATTTACTTTGATGTCATCTCTTTGGCTATGCAATGTCAAGACTGCTACCTTCTATTGAGAGTGACGAAGTATTCCACAAGCATCAAACATGATACTAAACTCGTACAATAGTGGTCATATGAAAATTTTCTTTGTGGTTCTTCATGTTTGCACGGGTCGTGGTTTTGATGTTATTTGCTTTGACCATCTTTATGATTCTCAATGTCATGTACTCCATCATGAAATCTAGAGGCTCTAATTATCCTTATTCTCTATATATATTTGCTTTTCCACTAAAAACTTGAAGGGAGATGTGTTTTCTTTCTCATTTTCCAAATTTCAAATATATGTTAATGCCAAAATTGCCATTACTGCTTGGTGATAGTGTTTGCATGGCAGTAACACTACTCTAGCCACTGGCATCTTCAAGCATTCAGATTACGACAAACAACGAAGGCGTCGTGCCTTACCTTTCTTTTTCATTTAAGAAGAATGAAACTTTGTTGTAATGCCTTGGAATACAATTGGTAATTTCTTACTCAACTTCAAATCAGAGGTTGCACTTTTGACTTTGAGTGCAAACTTTGTTATGCTTTCATTCAGAGAGATACAAGCTCTTTAACGAAGCATGTCTCGGTGCCATTTCTTTGTATAAATAAAAAAGCAGAAAACAGCAGGATCACTCCGTATTAATTCCATACAGAATTTTTGTACATCGGTTTTAAAATCAAAATCGCTACACCTTTGAAGAAAGATAAATTTTCCAAACTTCTAGCACATCGGAAACTAAAAATTTGATTCTGAAAGTAACTATTTCTTGCAAAGTAAAATACAATTTATAGCGAAGAAAGAATCAAATTATGATGAAAGTATGCGTCCTTTCATTTTAAGACACAACTGTTCATTTAAAATATTTTATTAATCATTTGTATAATTGTATTTTAACGTTGGCTTGGGGCCTGTGTATAGGCGTAAGGCTTTTTTTTTTCTTTTTGTAAATAAGATATTTAAATTATTGAGAGGGCATTTAGGTCTTTTAACTTTTCAATTTTGGGGTTCCACTTTTATAATAATATAGATAGATATAGATAGATAATACAAAAAAGACAATCATATCATGCTCAAAGTTAATGATTTTATAATGAGAATTTGTGACAGAATGTCATCCAATTTTTAAACTTGTCTTCAGGTGAAACAGGACACACAACACCTTGGTCAAACTTTTGGAACTGTTGGAACATTCATGGTGAAGTGCAAGGGTGAAAAAGAAAACAATCTTAGGAAACTTGATAACATGTAATTTTAATTTGACATATCTATGATAAGTACAACTCACAGTGTGAGATACTTGTGCTAAAATATTATAATAAATTCCAGATTTTTAGATAAGAAATTGGGGCTTTGGCTCATATTCATGTACACTACAACGGGGTAAAACATCGACGTATCTACACTCTATAAAGGAAGTACTGCGCTCTTTCATTTTTGAGAATTTAATACAGTAATAGTACCTAATCATAAATTAAAATAGTCGTGTACACCTTTTGCTTTTGGAAATAGGAACTTATGAATTAATGGCACTCATTAACAATTAAACACTCAAGAAAACTAATTTTGGGTGTAAAAAAAAATTAAATTTGTGAGATTTAACTGAGGGATGTTTATAAGTTTCAGTTATCAGGAGCATCAGTTGCCTATACATCTATGAAATTCAACTATTGTATTTATAGCCTCCCGTTTAAAATAATGTATCCCAATCTTAATCGGATTTATGCTCAAAAGGAAGTGCAAAGTTCATCTCGTACCTCTCAAATATGATTCACCTACAAATCACTATCAAATATCTTATCAATTAAAGGCCTTTCTCCTTTCTTCCTCTTGAAGTGAAAAAAAAAAATCAATGTGCATCCGGAAACCTTTCAATTGCTTGAACCATCTCTGAAATGAAAGTTTAATTGAAGGTTTAAAACCCCAATTTCAAACCCTAGCCTAAAATCTCTAGTTTCTTGATGAAATTATAATGTAAAAACATTACCTGCATACAATAGTTTAGGAATCTTTGTTTCAAGTCGGAATCTGGTTCCCATATTGCAAATCTGCAATGGAACCCAAATAGAAGAAGATGAAATCACTAAGCAAAAATCAAAGAGGAAGAAAACTCACCAGAAAGAGGGAAGGAAAAAGCAGAACAATGATGGAGTGAGAATTGAAAATCTGAGTAGTTCTCTCATATAAACTGGAACAGAGGGAGTAGTTAAAAAGAAAAATTAAATAAATTGGTTGACTTATTCTGTTGACATTCACCTAATTTGGGTCCTTCTTCCAGCCCAAATCATATGTAGCCCAAATTCTAAAATGGAATTTTTACCTACTATAGCAAAGGTTAACACCTTATTTATTTTAAATAAATACTATTTAAAAAAATTATATTTTATAGATACATTTTAATGTTTATAGCAAAATATCTAATTTTGGTTAACTCCTACTAAGCCACTAAATACACTATTCAATTACAGTATTTTCTTTCTCTCTCTACTTTGATACATACCATTCTCTTTCCCATTCCCTGAAAACACCATGCTCAATCTCAAAATTCCTCTCACCCACATCACATATGTTCTCTCCGCATCGGACGTTGCTTTCTCTTAAATTTTTTAATGTATACCCGATTTGAGCAAACTTCAGACACTACCCATGTTTGTCAGACACTACTCAAATTTATTAGCTATTCTTTCTTCACATTTCCGGCAATCGAACGGTATGTTTCTGCTATTCGCTGCCGTGCTTTTTACCCCTCCCTTCTTCTCTAGACGTTGAATCTATTAGCTTTCTTTTTTTGAACAGTGTATGGAGGAAAAGTAAGGTTTTTAGGTATTTGCTCCTTTTTTAGAGAGACGGCGACAATAGGTATTTGATCCTGAGTCCTGACTTTTGATCAGTGTAGGTCTTTATGTAAAAATTCTGTACATTGAAGAAATTATTCTACAGAGGAGATTCATGGCGTAGATGGAGCTTGTTACCTTTTCTATTGGAAGACAATTCTTAGAAGAAGGGGAAAATAAAGAAGAGTTAATTAAACAAAAACAAAGTTCGTAAAAGAAAGATATGTTGTTTGAGCTTTCCTCTATATGTGTCATCAACTCATCCTTGTAATTCATGTAAACCACAAAAACTTTGATCAATTTTAGGAGGAAAGTTTTGTACTTTGGGCATAGTTAAATAGCTAGAAGACCGAAATATGGTGAACGAGAGATTTGATGACCTTTGTTAAGATCAGTTGAAAGATTGCAAATACAGAAATTCAGACTTCAGAAAGCGTGAAGGCGGTAGGAAAATGCGTATATTCTCTCACATTTTGAATTTAACAGTGACATGCAAACTTATTCTTGTTTTCCTTCTCTTTTTGGGGTGTGCGGAGAGGGGAGAGGGGAGAGGGGAGAGGGGAGAGGGGAGATATATATATATACACCTCCCAGGTGGTCTCCAGAGGTTATTGTGTAAACCTCTTTATTTAGTTAGCGAAACATTTAACTCTTCAAGCCCCCAGGAAACAGCAAGGTAACACGAATAAAGTGGTCATAGGTCCTCACTGGAAGTTGGTATTCTGCTTCTTCATGGGTTTTTATCTTTCCCTCTTCTGTAGCTGTTTTACTCTTCTTGTCTCTGGTGCGCGTGTCTCGTGGATTATTCAAATTGCCACACTGAGAATTCCCTTTGTGTTGCTTATTAGAAAAAGAAAGATCCTCTATTTTGTGCATTTACCAATGTTATCAAAGGCAAAAAGCGCAAAAAGGCTCTACGGTCCATTGAGGCTTTAAGCACAAAGCGCAAATAAAACGTTAGCTTTAATGAAGACAAGCACAAATGGAGGAAAAATAAAAATATGTATATGTAGTTCAATACTAAGAATTATAAGCATGTATAACAAATATATGGACAAAGAAATTGAAAAACGTACAATAAGGTGAAATATCAACTTCTTAGTGTTGCCTCCTCAGGATTATGCTCATTGGCAAAGATAAGTATGCCTTAGAGCTGAACGCCCGCTAAGCGAGGCAGAGCGCTCACATGTTTTTGCCTCGCTTGAGGGCTTAAGCGTGCCTTTGACTATACTGGCGTTCACATTTATTAGCAAAATCCTTTTCCGTATGCTCCAAATTTTAAAGAATCTGGATTTCATGGTTCATACACTTTACACTTCACTTGTGCTACTAAGAAAACATCATAACGTGTTAGTTCCATACTCTGTTTTATCAATGGGTGAATCTCTTTGTTGAGTTTGCTTTAATCATCTTGTTACAGATGCATATCTTGTCTTAGTTTTGGATATTCCAAGCTTAATGCACTTCATTTTGTGATTCAGGAAGTTGGTTGAACCGAGAGGACACAAAATATGCCACTTTATGATTGTATGCTTTTACTGAAACCGCATGTACAGAAGGAGGCTCTGATGGACCTTGTTGCAAAGGTTGGGAGGCATGTTTATAGAAAAAATGGTGTGCTTACAGATTTAAAGTCATTTGGTGATGTTAATCTGGGTTATGGCATTAAGAAACTAGATGGAAGATACTATCAGGTCTGTCTCTATTATTATCCTTTCAATAATGTCACATTTGCCTTCTTTTCCGATTAGTGAATGATTTATCAGAATATCATCAAAGGTGAAATGCAGTCCATAAACATTTAAACATAGAAGCAACAGAGACAAAAAAACAGTAGGTGATTTTTTCTCATCTGCCAAGCTTTGATGCGCTGAGTTACCCGGTACTTGTGTTGGTTGTAGATAGCAGATAGCTAGTGGAATAATCACGGTGTACGAAAGATGGCCCCGACACCACAGTTATCAAAAAAGAAAAAATCACATTTTACTATAGAGGTACCCAGATATGAATTATTCTGGCAAAAGTTCCAATCTTTGGTCATTCACTATGTCTGGCGCTTTTACCAGTTGGTCCGTCTAGCAGCAGAGATAGCTGTTTAGCCTCATCCTCATGTTTCTGCTGCTTTCCATATTTAGGTACATGATCTGATAAATACGTCTTAGGTCTGTGACAACGACCATGCTTCTGTATGCACCTCCGGGACCTAGGATTGACCTTTCTGTCCTGTATCTTCACAAAGGAATCAGTAATTTTAGGTCAATATTCTGTTCTCAGTATTATGATTATTGTTACTACATTTAAAAATATTGCACGTTTTTAGGGTCAACTGATGCAAATGACAGTGATGACACCACCCAGTTTTAACAAAGAGCTGCATTACCTGAACAAAGAAGACCGCCTACTTCGATGGCTTTTGGTTAAGCATCGTGACATCAAATTTGGGTTGGACTTTTTGGGCGAAGATGATGCTAAGACTGAGCTAAGGAAGTTCAGGAGCAACATATACGAAAGTGAGGAAGAAGAGGAAGAAGATGATGAGGATGATGAATATAATGTCGACAAATCCGGGAGGAAGCCAGTCTAGAAAACCGATGAGTTTCTCTATAAGCTGATCAGAATCAACCATAACCCCAACCGGAGGAAGAAAAAAGAGGCCACAAGTAAACACCTAAACCTATAATTTAAGCTGTTGCTTAAACTAATAGTAGAAGAGTAGAAATTGATAAAATTTCTTGCAGTCTCTCTGTCTTTTTATCTCTACTATGACTGTATTTTCTCTGTCTCCTTCCATCAGCAATCAAGTATAGTATGTTTTTTCATCTTGACCATATTTCCTTGATATTTGATCTTTAGTGTGTTTTCTTCTGTAAATATGAGTAGTCAGTCTTATATATGATTCTCTCTCTTCCCTCTTATGGGTTGTGTTCATCAGAGCCTAGATTGCTTTTCCTATTGTTTGCCTAATATTTGTTTGCTTTTGGTGCGATACTTGTGGGATAGATAAAGTATTGGTTTTACAAAAGAGAAATGAGGCGTTGTGTGGATAATGGGAGGCGAATCCTTGTTAACTAAACTAGTAAGAGATGGTTTTCTACTGCTGTATTTATGTTACTATCATTCACTTCATACGAAATCAAAAGAAAATTAAATTGAGTCCAATACTTTTCTAGTTGTATTATTTTTGCTGTATGCCATAAAAAGTGAAGCACTCTATTATGTTTCCGACTTTATGTGGGTTCTTACAAATATAGTGTTCCAAGAATTTAAAACCGGATAGAACCGATACTGGAAAAGTAACCGGGATAATATTGATAGTTCAGAAAACTTTATACTTTGGTTATATTCACTATTAACCAAAAAAATGGTATAGCATAAACTAAAAGGTAAAAAAAGAGGCAACCATCCACACCTCTAATTTAGGTGAAGGCGATTGGACAAAACCTGCTTACTGCAGATTGTCTGTTCAAAAAAATTGTGTAGTGCACTCAGCGATGCTCCCCTATTAACTGGAAACTGTTTTCCTCTTTCTGTCTTGTGGGTGATTCATCCATCCAAAACACAGGTCTTGCAATTAATATCTGTAGGATTATGCAAGGAGTAAATTTGATTTGGTCATAAATTTGAAAGAATCTCATCTTGCTCTAAATTTTAACGTTAAATCCTTACAGAAAAACTGATAAATAGACCATCCGAATTCAATGTTTAGATTTTGATCAAAGGCAAAGTTTTCAGAGAAGTTAGTTCTTTAAAAATGAGCTCGGCAGAGGGTTCGAGAATAGGGTAGGGTCCGCTTTCTAGTCGTAGTTGATACCGCCCCTGTTTACTTCAGCATGCAAGGAACACCTTCGGGAAGAATCAAAGTTTTTCTCCTCTGTAAAGCTACTCATCTTTCTGTTAGCTTTCAGTTAGCAGATACATATTCAGTTTTCAGCTTCAACTTTCAGTTACTCCCTCAGAAACGGCTGCTATTACCCCATAGGCTAAAGAGTAAAAGGATGAATTCGACCCCAGGAGGGGCTCGCGTCTGATTAGCTAGTTGGCGAGACAATAGCTTACTAAGGCGATGATCAGTCTGGTCCAAGGATGATCAGCCACATTGGGACTGAGACACGACCCGGACTCCTATGGGAAGCAACAGTGGGGAATTTTCCGCAATGGGCGAAAGCCTGACGAGTGAACTTTTGTCCAATTTATGTAAAGGTGTTTAAATTTCGAGAGTGAAACGAATAATATGTTAGTCGTAATTTTTTCATATGCTTTTTAAAATGTAGTTTTCATATATGTAAATTTTATTTCGAACAATTAAAAAGTTCTATGTCCAAATGCATAGTCAAATTAAAAGGTTTAAATCTCGAAAAGCAAAAAATATCACTTAAGTTGGAACAGAGGAGTATTAGTTTTAATTCAGTTTTCAAAAATTAGTTTCAGCTTTCAAATTATTCAATATTTATTATTCCCACGTGAATTGCCTTCTCCACTTGCTGCATTTCATTATATTTGTATAGCTCATGCTTGTCTTGTCCTCCGCTTACGGGGTATTTATCAAGGAAATTTTTGGGTATTCTTTAGTGGTGCTTGGTCCGTTGGGGCCTGCCACGTCGTGTGGTAGGTGCTGAGTTTGTAGGCGACAAAGCACCTGGCTAGGGACAGATTCAGTAGACTCAGTTGGTGAGCCTTGATTCTTTCTAGTATTGTCGATATTCTTTTCAGACGTATAGGTGTTATTAGACATTTATATTGTTTCAGGGGAATATCTTCGAAGACTCATGTACTCGAATTTTTTAGATAGAGGCTCAACTTGTCATTGTAAGTTTAGCACTATAAGAAAAATCACGTATTATATGGGGATTTTATTGGGGATTATGTAAGAAAATCCGGAGGAAACTAAGTTTTATGCGGATTTTCCTTCCCAAAAGATTCCGATGGAAAAAACTTCGTACGTAATTATTACCTGTGAATTTTAAAAATTCCCAGGTAAGTTACTTGGGAATTTCAAATCCGCATGTAAATTACCTGGGACTTTAAATTCGCATGTCTATTACTTGCGAATTTTTTCGTATGAAATTCTAAAAATTCGTATGAAATATTTGGTGAAAATTTAATGAAAAGTTCAGAGTTTTCTTGCGGATTTTGATAGGGAAATAGCTGCAAGTAAATCCCCATAAAAATTCCCAAGCGCATGTAGACATTTTTAGATAAATTTTTTAAATTACTACAATATTACTACTATTGTAGAAGCAGCTAAGGAGAGGAGCTTGGGGTCGCAGGGTTATTTTGGAGAATTGGGGTAAGAGACACATGCTATTCTGTTACTTTGACACATCCTCATAGATTGTCGCAATTCCATGAAATTGAAAGATGAAACTGAACGACACCGTCTATCACAACGTCTTCCGTCATTTTTCTGCTCTGTTTCACTCTTTTCTCTCCCTCATCAGTTCACAGTGTGCTGTCTGTATAGTTATTGGGTGAGTTTTTTCTTCTGTGTTTTCCTTTGTTTATCCAACCTCTTCTGATTACCAGTGTTATCTAGATTTAAGATTGTGTTGCTTTTTACTTTGAAGAATGTTTCCTTATGATGTTTTGAATCTTCCCTAGAAGATGTAGCTTGCTTTCATCTGAAATTCTTACGTAATTGGTGATATGTTGTTAGGCTTCTGTTTTACGTGCTTTTCATGATTTTATCTTAATTTTTATCTGTTTCAACTCTTTTAAAGTGCAGTAAGAATGGATTTAAGTTTATTATTTAGATACTACATCCAGACTTGCACTAGAGGTATTTGAGAAATTTCCGACGAGAAAGAAGGGGTGAAGTATTTGAGAATGGAGAGGAACGTTAGGAAATTTACGAGGAAAATTGTTTCGCCTGAGAATGCAAATACTGATTCCATGTCTGCTGTTTGTCAAGATGGGGTTCAAGTCACTGTTGAAAAATTGCCACCGCCCGAACCTAAAAAATGTAAGATCATTAATGTCAGGCTTGCTTAAAATAGGGGAAATGTAGAACACTTAAGTTTGCTTTATGAGTTTTAATTTGGACTTCGGAAAGGTATGAAATTCTATTTTATAGTGGCTGCATAGATTTTGTAGATAGAATAGGAGAATGAGTATAAGCTCATTTTGTTCTTTGTAAACAAAATTCTTTTCAGCTCACTCATGGATTTCAATAAGCAAAAAAATTTGAACCAACTGACGGCCTCATACACAGAGCCAACGGATCTCTTCTTCAGTAATTGATAACACTAGATAACACCAGAGATTAGAACTTACTATATAATGTTTGGTAGCGTCTAGGATCAAGAATAGATGCTAAAGCTCTCAAACATTGTGCAAATAAAACCTGTTGTTGCATTATTTGTCTTATAAATCATCACGCATAAATCTATGCACCTTCTTGCCGCTCCATTGTTGTTTCCACAGATTATTTTAACTTTTCTTATGTATTTTTTAAACTCATCACCCATGTTTCTCCTCTACCCACCAATGCTTAACCAAATGACAAACGTATGTAGATCCATTATTTGGTAATTCAAGTGATGGCAAGTGGGGATGAAGTTTAATTTTGTTTCATTTAAGCCTTCTTTTCGACAGAAGAATGGCAGAATTCAAAAGATAAGCATTTCATAGCAAAACAACTTATCTAACTGATACCCTAGCAGAAGATGGTTGGTAGCTGAGACTTAACTCCAGTATTATGCAAAACCACATAAAGATGAAAAGTCAACAAGTATGATTAAAGGAAAAGGTTTAATAACCACCCCGAGCCTACATCTTACTCTATATATCTGTCCCATATGCAGGGGCAGTTTGGTGCCTATGACTACAAGCCCTATTTTCATGCTTGTTATCCTATGGTACCTCTTAATGGTATGAAATGTCGGCGCTTATTTTAGAGAGATACACTCATATATATATATTACCAAAAGATCTATAGAATTCAGATTCTTCAATGTTCTGCTTTTGTTTTTTTATTCGACTTTTGAGGAGGAAAAAAAGTATAAACTGGTTTACAGACATGCTACACTTCTGCTTTGAAAGGGAGTTTGCTGTAGTGCATTTAACTCTGTATACACCTTCCATGAGATCAAGTGTTTATACAACTAGGAGGGAAATATGGAGCATATTTGAAAGAAATCAAGTGTTTATATAGCTGGGATGTACTATAGCTCAGTCTCCTTCTCCCACTGCGGTGGAGTCATTTTTAATCTGGTACATATTATTTATGTTGTCTAAAAATATTGTACAATTTTATCCTTTTATTTGAATGTTGTAAATACATATAGGGAATTTTTCATAAAGCACCATCCTTTTGGTCTAATTAGCCATTTATAGATATCATTTGCTATATAAACGTGTTATAGATACCTTTTATGTTTTTATACAATGTATTTCATGTATTTAAGCTGTTGTATTCATTAATACAACTAAAAATATAGGCGTAAAATCTGGAATTCCAGCTAAGTTTGACATGTATTTAGCTGTATTCAAGCGACATTAACATTAAATACAGCCAAAAATATAGGCGTAAAATCTGGAATTCCAGCTAAGTTTGACATGTATTTAGCTGTATTCAAGCGACATTAACATTAAATACAGTAACGTATCTGCGCTAAAAACGGAAGGAAATAAAATCACATGATATTCTCCTAATTTAACTCAACGAACTAAAACGATCCCTCATTAATCTGTATTTGAAAGATACATAATAAAGATTATAGCTGAATAAAGAGAAATACATATGAATAACACAGTTGAATACAACAAAATACACCTTAATTCATCTGAATAAAACACTTGAATACAACAAAAGTACAACTGAATACAGCTGAATAAACTCTTGAATGCAACAAAATACAACTAACTTCTGCTAAATAAAATAGTTGAATATAACTGAATACAACTGAATACAGTTGTATAAAACACTTGAATACGACTAATTACTGCTGAATAAAATAGGTAAATACAACTGATTAAACCTGAATACAAGTGAATACAGCTGAAGAATACATTCGAATACAACTGAATACAAATAGGCGATTTGCGCGATCTAGAGAGAGAAACAACCCTATGGCTTCGCCGGCCGGCGGCCAGCCATTAATTCCGGCTGGTCAGCCCCTAACACATCTACAAAAACCCCAGCCTTGGAAGTTCTGGTGCAAGAAATCGCAGCCGCTGCTACCCGCAACGGCTCCTAGTAAACTTTGCTCTCTTCTCTCTCTGCTTCTTCTTCATCTTCTCTCTTCCCCACTTCTAGCTTTTCTGGATCTTGTAACCCACCCGCCAATCTCTCCAAAACTCATTAACATTTTCATATAATCTTTTGATCCCTGTGTTTCATCAACACATTTCATCCAAATTTACTCTTTTATACCCGTTTTGTTCCATTGATACAAGAACACTCTTCCAATTGGGCCGCCGGACCTCCTAATTGCCTCCAACGGCCCAGGAGGTTTCTCCATTGTGGATGCAATTTGTGAAGTACGCGAGTGTGGTTGCTCATATTCCGGCTCAGACAATGGCTGATGATAACGTTGGTGACGCGGAGCAGAAAATTGAGAATTTGGGTGGGAGAAGAGTTAAGAAACTAGGCTTTGTGGGAGAAGAGAGTCCGGTTGTATGCAAACAGAGAGAGATTGTATTGGGGTTTGCAGATACGCGGTAATTATTTGAGAGAAAATACAAAAAGGGAGATAGAAAAATAATATTTAGCATATATGATGCCTTAATTGTAGGATGTAACTATATTTAGATTTTTTGCTATAAAGGATAAAAGGTATTTATAGGATGTAATATTTTAAAATGGTATTTATTATTGATAAATAGGGTACTAACTTTTTCTATAGGGTGTAAAATTCCTACATATAGAGGTGCATCTGCAAATAATATTAACAACACTAAATAGTCGTTGGGCCCGGGCTAAGCCCAGGCATACTCTCACTTTTTTCCAAGTAATAGCAAATTACTTGGAAAATGAAACACTCTTTTCCAAGTAATAACAAATTACGTTTATATTACTTTAATTTTAATATATTCTTAATTATTTTTTCAAAATTTCATTTAAATTTTTTAAATAAAATAATAATTTCTTTTCTATAAAGAAATTAGTTAACATGACTTAAATACATTGTACGTGATAACTAGTAAAAATTGTTTCGCTAATCCTAATAAAGTATGCAAGATTAAGTTATTTTAATAATGGTATGATTTAACCAAAGTGATGATGTTATAAAGTTGAATCATAAGATCACTCGATATTAAGTTTCAATATTGACAATCTCAAACTATATTATTTTATCCGTACTATAATTAAATTTTATCTTATTAAATAAATGTGAAAAATAACATACATAAGATAGAAAGTTAATAAAAATCAGTTCGTTTTTATAACTGTAACACAATTTTTCTTTGCTTAAAATTTAAAGTTAAATATTTTTCAATCATTTAGTTATATACTTATATTCAATATATTTTTTGATGATTTTAGCAGAAATATGTCAAATGTAGTCGTATCTTAGCTTTATTATGTCCTTTATATCAACTATATTAAATTTTAATTCTTAAAATAACTAGTCGCGTGTGATAATTATTTTGTTAGTGAAATTGTTATAAAAAAATAGTAACCGACAATGTTATGCTTAATGACTTATAATGTTCAATCCACATATATATATATACATCATTAAATTTTATATAGGTTCAACATTTTTATTTACCAATAAAATATAATAGATAAAATTAATTCCTATGGATATTTTTTTTAAATTTCAAACTTAAATATGTTGCTATAAAATTTTCAGATAAAATCTCAAGATTATATATCCAACTAAGAGAACAACAATAAAATTTACAAATCCTCAATAAAAATCATATTATCAAATACTCAAGTAAATTCCCAAAAAATAATCCCCGCCTAAAATCACACAAATAATCTCTAATTAATTTCTTAGGAAATAAAATTTCTAGGTAAATCCCAAGCTATGTTATCAAGAATAATTTCTAGCAAAAATTACAATGATAAAACCCCCATATAATTTTCCCAAATAAGTAAATCCCCACCAAAAAAATTCTAACTAAATTGACATCAACATAATCTCTAGGTAGTTTCCCAGGTAAGAATATTTCTAAGTAAATCCCCAAGAAAATGTCCCTAACTAAATCTACAACAACAACATCCCCAGGTAATTTCACAGCTAAAAGAATCCCCAAGTAAATTTCCAAGAAAATATCCCCAGCTAAAATTCGCAGCAACAATATCTCCAGGTAATTCCCCAAATAAGCAAATCCCTAGGTAAATCCCCACGAAAATATCCCCAACTAAATTTGCATGTAGAGTTACCTGGGGATTTTCCTACAGAGTAACATACGATTTTTTTTTCCATTTTCTTTATCTGTTTACCTGCAAATTTACTTACGGAAATGTACTTGCCGATTAGTTTCCCCAGATAATTTTCTAGGTAGTATTTTGGCGTATAATGGCGCCAAAGTTACCTACGAATTATCCTAGGAAATTATTTTTTGCAAGAAAAATATTTTAAATTTAAAAATTTTAATATTCCCCATGAAAATCCGCAGGTATTATCTGCGAATAAAATCCCCAGATAAAATTCACATGTAATTAGCACTTTCTTGTAGCGTAGATTTCCTGATGCTTATTCGTCAAATATTGTTAAACAATTTTCAGATATCTATCATTTAAAGATTATCAAACTCTAATATACTTATTATCCTCAGTAGCATTTTTCAGACAGGACATGGGTGAGTACAGGTGGGTGCCAGTTTGGGGGCGTGACATATTGAACATCATGTAAATTGTAATCAAGCGTTCGCCAATACGCAGTCGCAGTCAAGTAACTTGGATGGATAGTTTACTCCCATATATATATATATATATATATATATATATATATATATATATATATATACACACACACACACNNTTTTTTAAAAAAAAAAAAAAGAGGATTTGGTTCAGTGTTCGGAACAGAATAGAACTCTATTTGCGTAAACTCAAAGAAGTCTTCTAATACCTAATTGACTTTGGGTTCTTATATATATGAGGGTTGTTACCCTAAAAAATCAGCATCACTTTCCTTCCATCTGGTGAGGGTTATTAGCATGGAGAGTTCCTCAGACCAAAGACATAGATTGCTGATCGTGTGCGTAAAATCTGCTTGTTTTAATACAAAAAAGAATGGAAAATTCTACTTGAAAATTTCCATCCTCGAAAACCAGTTACAGTCTCAAACAATCACGTCCCAAACTAACGAAGTCAGTTCTTCCTACAATGTTACACTAGGAAGCAAGAATTTTTTTGTTGTTCCAGAAAAAGAATCAGTTTGTATTAGTTTCGA